GAGGGAATGCGTTAAGCCCAGTACCACAAGGCCCACCTAGAAACCCAGGCAGTTAATTGCGCTTTGAGTTTTTTTTTCTTCCCTTTTGCAAAAGAGAGAAGTGATCCAAATTTAAAGGTATACTACCAAAATGCATGTGCCTTGCATTGAGTGAAGCCAAAAAGAGTAGTAGTGAGTGTGTGGGGAGTATAAAGCCACCAAGTTTAATTGAGTTCCTTATAAGCAAATAGAATCTTCCCGGTGTAAGAAAGACGCTCACATGATGTAATTATTTTTTCTCTAAATCCATTGGCATGGGTGATTATAAGAAAACTATTAATACCACCTTAAAATGAAATTATGTATTACAGACTAAAGTTTGAAACCATAATATGTACTTTTGTCATGTATTATTAGAGTCGATTGCAATGCATGGTTATTTTTTGAGTAAATTCCCTATGTACCCCTAAAAACTCACTCAACTCTTTCATACCCCCGAAATTTACCCGATTCCTTCTATACTCCTGAAATTTCAACATGATTCATTCCATGCCCCTACCGTTATATTTTCTTTCATTTCACTATTACATTTGGTTGCAAATGTCTTTTTGCCTTTGATGCTTTAAGTTTGAATATAAGCTTGAAAAATAATTGAAAATTTTGTTTGAGTGCACAGTATGTGCATTTTATGAAACTAATAAGACTAAATAATTAGTGCAGAAAATTTTGACATAAATTTTGAAAATAAAACAAATGTAATAAATTAAAAAAATTTATTTGAAATTTTAATAGGACAATGGATTTTTTTTATCGGGAGCATTCAAAAAAAATTATTTTCAGCATTGGTAGTCATATCTTTGTATGGATGCTCCTAATTTTTTATGAATTTTTTTAAAAAATAAATACATTTTTTTATTTCATTATCTAAAGATAAATTTTGTGGTAGATAATGCATCACATAACAAACTCATAACTATAATAGTCTCATGCAATAAACTTTTATATTTTTAATAATGTAGTTCATAAATTTATATGTTCATCCAAGGAGTAAAATGGTCATTTTTATAGAAATTAGATGGTCAACTGACGAGAGAGATAAGGAAGGGATCCGAATCATATTTAGGGGGTATACAAGGAAGTAAGTAAAATTCAGGGACATATAAGGGATTAGCTAAAATTTTAGGGGTATATAAGGGATTTTCTCTTATTTTTTTAGTACTTGATGTTGATAAAAAAATTATATTTTTCATATTGTAAAGAGTAGCCTTAGTAGAATAAATGTTTTGGGCTATATATCGGATCAAGCTCACTGCACTCCAATCTAGAATTGATTTCACTCTAAAAAAATCAGAAAGAAATCATACAGTGAATGGAAAGAAAGAAAAGGAAGTGATGTGGTGTCCTGTTGAGAAATTGAGAGAACCGATTGCGAAGGAAAAAAATGAGAACTTTTTGGTACAATATACTGTAAGTATATACTAGCAGTATAAATCATCGAACGATATAGATTGTAGCTGCAATGGCTTCAACGGCGAGCTTCTTAGCCTCATGGCTATGCGCTCAGCTCGCTGCCAGCAGCAGCACGTGCTATGCCGCCCACCTGTTGGCCAACACGCCCACCACCGCAGCCGCGCCTCCTGTTGTACCTGGCCTCCCTACTATGCCGTCGTTGCCTACACACCGTCACCGATGTTTATCGTTCAGTCAATGCCATGGGTCGTCTCTCCGCTCCGGATTGATAGGGATGACGTTATCTTTGTCGGGCCTAAGTGAAAACCCGCCACCAACAACATTCATCGGTGACGGGCCTAATAGTTATCTCAATCAGGTCTCAAGTTGGAGCTCGTCACGGATGATGGACATCGGTGACAGGTTTCTGTTAGGGCTCGGTCAAGATATCATCGGTTATCTTTGTTGGGCCTGAAGTTAGGGCCCGTTACTGATAGGTGTCATTCGTGATGAGCTCGATTTTTATGCACATCTAATATGTCTGTGCGAGTATATTTTTATCAGCCTCTTTTTAGATCCGTTTGAGATGACTTTGTTGTGACGGACTGTAAAACCCAGGCATGTGAGGGGCCGTCATAGATGAGAGGATCTGTACTAGTGATGCATGCATGTACATTTTACGTTGGTTATGTTCTGTCCCTAGAAATTCGGAGACCATGTGCGAGCCTTAAATTTATGTGACAAAATGTTCAATTGAAAATTAATTCAGTAGATATTGGACTGCAAAACAAAATTGGTAGACAAGAATAATTATTGAAAAGATGGGCTTGGTAGAATGCTTGATGGGCAATGGCGTGTATGGTGTGCCATGCTTTGATCTGTGCTGGATTGCGACACAACTTATAAGTCGAAAAGTCTAATTCTAAACAACCAAACAACTTTTTCTTTTCTTTTTTAAGTCATATATAAGTCACTATAACAATAATAAGCCGAAAACTAGATCAAAGAAGCTTTTTTTGTCTTATGTAAAGAAGATATATGACTTCATCACTAAACTTAAAATATTAAATCCACCGACTTATAAATCATACAAGCTAATAAATTGACTTAAAAGTCTAAACCAATAACCCTCGGGGGGCAAAGTCCGAGAGGGATTAGAGCGCATTGGCACACGCGATGATTATTTAGCAAGCAGTGGACATGAATGTAGAATGTGTTAGCATTATAGGGGGCAATTAATAAAGCGGCAACTGGATCGATCGAGACGACAAACCAAACACTATCCACGAAATCTATCAGGGTGATATCGATGAAGCTCACCTAGCTAATTGAACATGTTGGCATGGCGTGTATATACCTAACTGTACACGGGGCCCCATAGAATTTAGGAAAATGTATACTTTGACTCCTCAACTATTGATCAAATCTAATTCGTACACTTTAACGTAAAACTGGATATGTTGACTCCCACAACAATCAAAACCGGTGCAAACTATACGCCTCGGTAATTTAGAAAGCGGTTTGGCTTATATGATAACTTGGCTAGTATTTATCCAACATGGGACCCACATGTAAATCTCATAGAAAAAATAGAAGGCCTCGCTAGCACCTAAGCGACGAGGGTGAGCTAGCGGTGGTAGTGTCTTGGGCTGAGGTGGTTGGTAGCGGTGACACACCGTGTGGCTGGCAACTGCCAAGATAGGCCCGAGCTGAGCAGGCAGCGCTGAGGCATCACCGGCGAGCTTCTACGGCAGAACTTCAAGTAACTCGACCACACCTTTAATTTGGGACAGCGCCTGGGCTTAGAGCATCTTGACCACTACTAGCACTGCTGTTGGCGAGTGCTAGGGCTCTTGATGAGCTTCTCTCGGCATCTGCTCTCTTGCTGCCATGAACCACCCCCACTTCCCCCTTCTCCTCTCCAATTCGCTCCCCCTGCAGAAGCCCCTCTCTCGCGTGCTCCAAGCCACCGCATGGCGCGCATTGTCATCGTCGTAGGTGGATCTCCAGTTGGACTCTAAGAAAACGCCGGTGCTATCCATCGAGCTCTACAGGCTCGCGGTGCCGTGCGCCATAGGGAAGGAGGAGAGGGAACTACAACAAATGAGCTTGCTCCGTCCAAGGCCATAGGGCGGCGCACCACCCAGCTCCTCACTGGACGGCGCCAAAAGAATAACAGTGTTGCTACTCCCAACGTTGACTGAGACATGTGAATGGGATAAATTAGAAGAAAAATTATGTTTGGCAGCAGGTATACAGAAATAGCTAACTTTTATGGTTTATAAGAAAAAAAAAGGAAACTTATGATAGCAGATAATGACTTCTAATGTAAACAAGATATACATCGAACATTAGATGATGATGGATGGCTTGGATGTCTACTCGCTGATTGCGAAGTTGTACATTTGGAGTCTTACATGTTTCAAAAGACTCACGTGGCTATGAAATTAACAGTATTATAACTTACTCGATCATTCTCTTTTTAATATCCTGTTTTGGTTGCCAAAACATACATATTGTCCTTATTGTTTAATATCATTACTAAATACTACTGTAACGTTAGTACGGATAAATTACTAGTCATACACTAGTACAATAACTTGGCTAGTACGTGCGAACTTTTGTCAAAACCTTCCATGCAGGAAAAAATTATCTAACATGGCATGGCACACACTGATGTATAATTATTATTAACCATCAAATTTTTCAGTGACAAAATATGTAATTATTACTTTTAGTATGTTTCTGAGATATAGACAAAAGAAAAAGCAATACAGTTTAAAATATCTTATTATAAAAATAGCTTTTTTTAAAAAAAAATCTCAACGAATGATCCCTTGTCCCTTTTCTTCTTACTATAACCTCGTGTATACTTTAATACCAATTTGATCCTAATACTCTACTAATATCGTTGTCAGGTATAATCTTCGATAACATTATAGATTGGTTTTGCTTGCACGGGTAGTTTTTTTTTTTCTGCTTGCATGGATAGTTTGGGCCCAGGTACGGAATAAGCAACTTGCATCCACTCTTAGTTCATGTATACCATGAGCTTAATTTAAATTAATTAAACATTACTATATATTTTCTTCCACACCGAACTGTTTATTATTTCACATTTTAAGAGATTTTTTTATTACACGGTAAGCACATACGTGGGCACACTTCTACACATGCACACCACACTCACTCACCCGTGAGTACGTACGCTAACACATGCTTACAATTCCGATTGAAAACCCATTTACGTGTGTATATAGTGTTTTTGAGTAAATACTGATGGGTAAAGTAATGCACCCATCCACGACTTCACCATTTGCTCCAACTGTGGCTATTTTGCCATTCAAATATTAAGTTAGTATGTATGTAATTCATGTACTTACAGAAGCGCTATACAATTTATTGATAGTTGAATGCTACTTAAAAACTAATATTATGGGACGAAGGTAATAATTAAACTGTCCTCGAAGGCACCAATAAAACTACAGCAACACAAGTACTATGGTTAGCATCCATGTAAGATTGCTAACAATCCATATAGATAAATACAGTTGTGAACATTTGGAACACGATTTCATCAAACTTTAAAAAAAAAAACAGTAGATGAACAACCTTACTAGGAACATTACATCATTTGATTTTATTTAGTTTGAGGTAGATAAATACAATGAACACAACTTTGGGTAACACACACCAAACCACTACAACCAGAAGCTCAATACCCACCATATAATTAGCACAAAACAAAGTAATTAATTAGGGCAGCATGAGATCCACGGGCTTATCAAAGATCCAGCTAAATGGAATGGCCGTGGGCCTTTTCCTCATCTGGGCCGCTCTGTCATGGGCCTTCTCCTCCATCCTCCGGATCTTCTGCGGCAGCGCGCACACGTAGTCCCGCGCGCGCCGCCCCTCGCCGGAGAGCCCCGCCTCCAGCTCCGCCACGCGCCACCGCCGTATCAGGTGCTCGAGGATTCCCCGGTAGTCCGACGCGGTGTACGTCCCGGCCTGCTGCGCCGCCGCGGCGTAGTGGGCGAACAGGTCGGCGTCGCGGCCGTCGTCCATGAGCGCGGCGGGCATGGTGATCCGGCGGCGCATCATGTACGCCAGCGCGCGCACGGTGGTGTCCGGGTCGGCCTCGAGGAGCCTCTCGACGACGCGGGTGTAGGCGGCCTCATGACGCTTCTCGTCGGAGGCGATGGCGCCGCAGATGCGGGCGAGCGCGTCGTCGCCGTGGGCGCGGACGTTGCGCGCCGTGTTGCCGTGGGAGATGGCGGTGGCGCGCTCCTGGAACGCGACGTAGATGAAGCCGTGGTAGGGGCTCGCCGGCGCGTGCATCGCCATGCCGGAGCCGATCAGCCGGTGCACCGTGCGCTCCACCTGGCGCATGTCGAGGCGGCCGGAGAGGTACATGTAGCGGTTGAGCACGTCGCCGTGGCGGTTCTCCTCGGCGGACCACCCGCGGATCCACCGCGCCCACGCCGTCGCGTCGGCGCCGGTGACGTCGCGCGCCGACTCGAACCGGTTCGCCATGCTCTGGTACGTGGGGAGCGCCTCCTCCGTCACCATGTTCCCCACCAGGCACACCAGGTGCGCGTCGGGCACGCCGGCGGCGCGCCCCCGGAGCTCGACGCACGCCGCGTGGAACCCGTCGGCGCCGAGCGCCGCCGCGTCGGGCACCAGGTCCGCCGGCTGCCACGCCTCCTCCGCCGGCTTCAGCAGCGGCAGCACGTGCGCCTCCACCCACGGCTCCATCTGCTCCAGCACCTCAAGCCTCGCCGGCGCCAGGCACCTCCTCACCTCGTCCGCCTCCTCCGCCTCCGCCTCCCGCCGTGACGTCGCCACCGCCGCCGCCGCCGCGCTCCGCCTGCACCGACACTGCCACGTCAGCACACGTACAGAGAGCTCAGCGACCAGTGGCGGTTAAAAGCTTACCAGAATCGGAGAGTGGCAGTTGCCGGCGGCTTGAGGTGACAGTTGCGGTTTGGATACCCAAACATGGTTACTGCTAAGGTGGAGGTCGTTGCCGATGCCGCCATGATCGAGCAGTACGTGGATCTGATCGGAGGAGGGAGGAAGACGACGGCGATGGCGACGGCGGCGGCGGCGGCGGCGGCGGCGAGAAGGCTTGGAATATGAGTGGATGCGACTACTTAGCGAGCTACCCTTGCAGATGTACGTGTGGGTATATATATGCTACGATCGATGTGTGTAGAGCTTGTGTTAATTTGATTAATTAATTAATTATATATACTGTTGCTTAATTAAAATGTTTTAATTGGTTGGTGGCTGCTAGCTAGCTGACTGCATGCCTGGCTCGCGGTATCGTGCGATGACCGTTTTTGCATGCAGAATCTGTACCTTAAATAAGTATAGTATTAACTAAATCAAATTTAGATTACAAATATGTTAAAAGAATATTATGCCCTTCCTTAAGGAACAGAAGAAAGTATTTATTCAATTACCAAAAATGAGGAAAAAATACAATAATATTGGAAAAGTATACGTACCGTCGACTACTCTAAAACTACACTATTTTAGCAATGAAATTTTAAAGTAAAGCTGCAATTTTTTAGGTAGGGAATTCTAGTGTTGAAAGTTCAGGTTATATTTTTCTTCCGTTTCGGGAGCTAGGATGCTCGGCTAACATTTGGAAACGTGGGGTTAAGGTTACCATCCAAATTAAGGTTTTCCAAGAAGGTTAACTATTAGTAGCATCGACGTCAAATTAATCAACCGGGTCAAATCCTTGGCGTACGTCTTATTCGAGCTTTTTTTTTATTTAGTGTGTACTATAAGCCAAATTAAAGAGACATGTGCATGACTCAATTAATTAAGCAACCAAAAATAACTTTTAGCTAGGGAAAAAAAACCATGCCACGTTGAACCAACCAGGTGCAAAACGGTATAGATTATCACCCAGCTTAAAATTGAAAAGCTGTATTAATCAAGCACCATATAGAAACATAATGTTGATACTCGTGATTCGCCCATGATACTCAATGATACTCCTACATTTTTATATGATATCGATGATGGATAGAAATAGCTTACATGCATGATATCTTGAGGTCTAATTGTAGTACCTTAGAGATACTCGAATTAAATTTAAAAATATACTGTTCATTCAATTTTTTTTGAAATATTCGGGATGTAAATTTTTTTTAAGAAATATATTGTCAATCTCGCGTAACCGTTGCGCAAAAAAAACATGATGTCATGGGCGATATCGCGCGAAGAAAGTGCGAGACCGCGCGGCAACGGCATGAGACCACGCGATCTCGTGGAATGGAAGAGGGAGACCGAACGGTAACCAATCAGCGACACCGTCCCAACGGCTTCATTTGATTAGTGATTAATTACCTAATTAACTATTAACTAATAATAAATAGTGATTAATTATCTTGATTAGCGATTATTAATTAATCAATAATTAATAACTAATTAACCATTTTGAAATCCAGTATCGCTCTCTGGCTCAATGAGACCATTCGGTTTCGCTCTTCCGTTCCACGAGATAGCGCACGGTCTTGCACTTTCCCAGTGCGATACCGCCCACGATGTCACGCCCACATCATTTTTGTGCAACGGTTATGCGAGATCGACGATATATTTGTGCAAAAAAAATTTGCATCCTAAATATTACTGAAAAAAAATTGAATGTACGGTAGATTTTTAGATTTAATTAAGAGATACTCTTTGATGTACGTTGTTACTCGTGATTCATCCCTGATACCCAACAATACTTTTTTTATAATGGATACTGAGAAGACTTTTAAGTGAAACTAGCTAAATGCTTGTGCTTTGTTGTGGCTAAAAAAATCATATTATTATCTAAAATAAATAAAATCATATCTTTTCCTAAAATATGTTTCCTACCTTTTTATTATAGAGAATACTCACTTTTGTTTAATTTTATATGTAGTTGTCCATTTGGATTTAATTATTATTCAATATATCCTAAAATATAAGGCACAAACATCATTAACATAAGGATTAAGAAATAATTATTACCACTTACTTGTTTCAATCACTCAATAGATACAATGTATGCATCCAATGGAATTGGAGATGTTGAGGGTGGAGGATATTTAAAAACCGAATTTAAGAAAGAGGAAAGTACTAATTAATTCCATGCATGTATACACGCCTTATATTATAAAACTATTAAGAAACTACGGGTGATCTCATCCACCCAAGGAAATAGGACCAACGGTTGCTAATCTAACCGATAGAGAAGAGGAGATCGCCCCTCTCTCTCCCTTTGGCGTCCCTCTCGACAACCGATGCGATGTTCCCAAACATCGCATCCCCTGCGGTTGGCACCGCTTCACATTGTATAAATGTACTGTTGATCAATGAGAAAATCATCCATTCGCTCTATTGTGTTCAATTCTCTCTCTCGCTCAATCTCTCTCGCTCCAATCAATTCATCCACTTTCAACACGTTAGTCGTGCCTTATATTTTAGCATGAAGAGAGTATGTCATATTAATAAGTTTAAGAGATAATATTTAAAAACTGTAATAGTAACATGTGGGCTGGCAGATTCACTGCCAACATCATTAGAGTCCTTTTAAGGAAGTATAAATCAATGATACATTAAAGAATCATATACTACCTCAGTCTCAAAATGGATTTTGACAATATATCGATAAAATCCTTTAAAGTCAGAGATATCATTGTAGTATCCTTGACTTTCGGAATGCAATTCTAAAGATAGCATAAATAAGTGATAGAGAATTTTTTTTTTGTTTGCAAGGGACAAAAGAGTTCATTGATCAGAAGATAAATCCTTCCCCATAGGATGTGAGATGAGGTTATAAGAGTTACCACATCAAAATTCTGAGCTTGCTTCACAATGAGCATAATTTGCAGGCTCGTAGAGAGTTGCAAACATGACAAACTTTTTTTTTCCTTAGAAAGCGTGGCACGCCATATATATTTTTCGTGGCCGAAATTTAGCGTTAATTTACATGAATTGTTGAGTTGTATTTTCCATATCTGAATGATCGTATAGCTGCTAAACGTAATAAATCTTCCTTTTTTTCCCGAATAATTGACACTGTTCCAACTGAATCTTGGTCCTTCAGAGATATTGGTTCCCCGGCCTATCTCTGTTTAGCCATGTGTTACTACCAAAAAATCAGTCATAAATGCTACATGTGCAGTCAAAAGTGACGATATTTAGACCAGTTGCTCGAGACGTGCCCTAACATTACCACAAAATTAACCAAACACATCGTAAGTTTACTACAGACACATCTGACGAGTTTGTTTCGCAATGAATTCTCTGACAGCAATACAGCATGTAGCAGTCATTCAGGCCCGGCCAGCTACTGCAAGGCAATGAATTTGCAATCAACCGGTGGATGTAGCTTCAGTAGAACATGTCGCATAGACGTACTCCAAAATAAATAAATCTAAAACAAACATAGGATATAACCTAATACAACGAATCTAAATAAATCAAAATAAACAAATCTAAAATATAATGTTATATAATCATTACAATAAATTTGAACACTCGTTGTACTAGATTATCTCTCATCTCATCCTGGGTTTGTTTATTTCGGGATATAATGCATGGAGTATAGTTGCTGACTCCCACTGTCCATAAATATAAATGAATAAATGGACTCTAGTACTATATTTTCAATTCATTCAATCATTATATATATTTAGTATTTACTAGTAGCCATGGGCGGATCCAACGTGGGTGCAGGGAGACTCAAGTCCCCTCTACACCCACAAGACCTATGGATACCCCCGAAACACCCCTTTCAATTTTTTCACCATGAATGATAAACTAAAGGTCCCTAAATGGCTAGATATTGAAGAAACTGTGTAAATGAGCCCCCTCAATTTTTTTTATTCCTGGATCCGCTACTGTTGGTAGCAGCATTGTTAGACGTGATTTTTCTCAATTTAGGAACCAAGGGAGTACATTGATACGCAGGCGCAGGGCTGCAGAAACACAGCAGCAGCAGTAGGCAGGCAGGCAGGGGCAATAAAATCACAGCTTAATTTTAGGGAAACAGTTGTGTGAGCAGCTATGCATGCCACCTGAATGCTCGTGAAAATATCGGCGACTGCATGTTCAATGCTATCTCATGAAAAATATCGGCCAATGCATGTTCAGTTTAATGTTGTTCTGAGTCATTTCTGTGTACATTGGGAGAGAGAGAAAGAGAGATACATGTTCATTGGTCTGCTGAAGAAGAAATGGCAGAGAGGTGGATAGGGTGTCATAGAGGAGTAACTGCATGCTGAAACAGAATTTTGTGTGGGTCCTAAAAGAAATGCTATGATCATTTACATGGCATCTCAAAAATATCTGTGTTCCTTTAAAAAAATTTATCCATGTTACTGCTCTTCCCTGAGGAGTAATGGGATGCAGGGATGGGATGGAGAGCCTGAGGAGAAATTTATCCATATTTTTCAATTTGACAAATTTGGGTTAAATTTTACTATTTCAAATTTGAACTATTGAAAACTATTCGAAAATTTCAGTTAGAATCTAATTTCGTCCCGCATCGATCGAAATATCAAAATTTCATTGTTTTTTTATTGGTTTTCATAAAAAATGTAAGCCCTAGATTTTATCGAATGGTGGCTCTCTTACCAGATTTTTATTCAGGACACAATGGGTCTTATGAAAATCTTTCTATATTTGGAGAAATTAAAAATAAATGTTCTTATTTTCTGGAATTCAATGCCTAAGTGTACGTAAGGGTATGGTTTCATTCTTTTAGATATGAATAGTAATATGTTTATATGTTTTAATAGGTCAGAACCATATAATTAGAAGAGATGTACGTGATCGAGGATAAAATATTGGATCCAGTGGTTACTTGTGCGAAACGTACGAAAGTGCTACGCACGGTGGGAGGAGCAGATGGAAGGAGCACAACTCTGAATTTAAAGATGGTAGAGATATTCTCATGTATACATGTAGGATGAATGAGAATAATGCAAACCATTATTATGGTTTGATATGTAAAAATGATATATGAGTAGATTTTTCATTAAAAATGCTTCATATAGTTACATTTTCAACGATTTCTATAAATATATTATTAGAAAAAATAACGAAAAAGAACAAAGTTAGTAGTTTGCCTTTTATGTTGTTTACTCATAAAATTATTTACTTTCT